GGCCATGCCATCACGGTCATATAAATACCACCATAACCAACACCACTTTAACACACAGAGGTTTAACATTTATTCACTATAGTGTTTCTAATATAACCGTTCCTGTCATTTCTACTTAACTGAACAAAATATATTTAATTTAAAGATAATAATAAATTTTAAGCTCATTTAATAACCAACAAAGTATAAATAGGATAATTATGACGCCTCCACAAAATAAGATACATGCTTGTGTTTACATCAAAGCGGATAATCATAATAGTCGGTATACTCTTCATAAAAACGTTATTACTGCCCGGTGAACAAGAACATTATTGGAACCTTGAGGGAAAAAAATAAAACTCGTTCATCTATCAAAGGAAAATTATCGTGTTTGTAGAGAGAGAAAAATCATAATAAACTCTTCAGAAACGATATTGCGCTCGACCAAACACACAAATTATTGAACCTCAGGAAAAATTCGTTCATGTATAAGGTAAAATTATCTTGTGTTTCATTAAATAAATAGAGAAACAGAAAGAGAGGAATTACCCGAATACACAATGGCTACAGATGAAAATCGCATCACACACACACACACACACACACACACACACACACACACACACACACACACACACAAAAAACCGGAATCAGAACACGGTCAAGAAAACTACAGTGGCTGGAATCAGAAAATCGTGCTACAGGGCGGAAACAGAGAACGGAAGGGTCACCACTAAGAAAATACGATGACAAATGTAGACGGAAATTATGTCCTTAGTTGGGGGGAGAGAGTTTTAAAGACAAGTTGCTGAACTTTATTTTGATTGTACTGAGTCTACAGAACCGGGGTCTACCAGAACTGGGGTCTACAAGGGCTGGTGTCTACAAGGACTGGGGTCTACAAGGACTGGGGTCTACCAGAACTGGGGTCTACCAGAACTTAGGTCTACCAGAACCGGGCTACCAGAACTGGGGTCTACAAGGGCTGGTGTCTACGAGGACTGGGGTCTACCAGAACTGGGGTCACCAGAACTGGGATCTACGAGGACTGGGGTCTATCAGAACTGGGGTCTCAAAACTGGGATCTAAGAGGACTGGGGCTCCAGAGCACTGGGGTCCACGAGACTGGGGTCTACGAGGACTGGGGTCTACGAGGACTGGGCTATGAGGAATGGGGTCAAACAGAACTGGGGTCTACCAGAACTGGGGTCTACCAGAACTGGGGTCTACCAGGACTGGGATCTACCAGGACTGGGGTCACGAGGACTGGGCTATGAGGACTGGGGTCTGCCAGAACTGGGGTCTACCAGAACTGGGGTCTACCAGAACTGGGGTCTACCAGAACTGAGGTCTACGAGGACTGAGTCTACCAGAACTGGGATCTACCAGAACTGGGGTCTACGAAGACTGGGGTCTACCAGAACTGGGGTCTACCAGAGTTGGGCTCTACCAGGACTGGGGTCTACCAGGACTGGGGTCTACGAGCACTGGGCTCATGAGCACTGGGGTCTACGAGCACTGGGGCCTACCAGAACTGGGATCTACCAGGACTGGGGTCTACAGCTGGGGTCTACGAGACTGGGGTCTACGAGACTGGGATCCACGAGCACTTGGGCTACGAGCACTGGGGTCTACCAGAACTGGGGTCTACCAGAACTGGGGTCTACCAGGACTGGGGTCTACCAGAACTGGGATCTACCAGGACCGGGGTCTACCAGGACTGATCTACAAGAACTGGGTCCAACAGAACTGGGGTCTACCAGAACTGGGGTCTACCAGAACTGGGTCACTCAGAACTGGGGTCAACGAGGACTGTGGGTCTAACAGAACTGGGGTCTAACAGAACTGGGGTCTACCAGAACTGGGGTCTACCAGAACTGGGATCTACCAGTACTGGGGTCTACGAGGACTGGGGTCACCAGAACTGGGGTCTACCAGAACTGGGGTCTACCAGGACTGGGGTCTACCAGGACTGGGGTCTACCAGGACTGGGGTCTACCAGAACTGGGGTCTACAAGAACTGGGGTCTACAAGAACTGGGGTCTACCAGAACTGGGGTCTACCAGAACTGGGGTCTACCAGGACTGGGGTCTACCAGGACTGGGGTCCACTGAACTGGGGTCTAGCAGAACTGGGATCTACCAGAACTAGGGTCTACCAGAACTGGGGTCTACGAGGACTGGGGTCAAACAGAACTGGGGTCTAACAGAGACTGGGGTCTACCAGAACTGGGTCTACCAGAACTGATCTACCAGTACTGGGGTCTACGAGGACTGGGGTCTACCAGAACTGGGGTCTACAGGACTGGGGTCTACCAGACTGGGGTCTACCAGAACTGGGGTCCACCAGGACTGGGGTCTACCAGGAACTGGGGTCTACTAGAACTGGGGTCTGCCAGAACTGGGGTCTACGAGCACTTGGGTCTACGACACTGGGGTCTACCAGAACTGGGGTCTACCAGAACTGGGGTCTACCAGGACTGGTCTACCAGAACTGGGATCTACCAGGACCGGGGTCTACCAGGACTGGGGTCTACCAGACTGGGGTCTACAAGAACGGGGTCTAACAGAACTGGGGTCTACCAGAACTGGGGTCTACCAAACTGGGGTCACCAGAGCTGGGGTCAACGACTGGGGTCTAACAGAACTGGGGTCTAACAGAACTGGGATCTACCAGTACTGGGGCTCCAGAGGACTGGGGTCACCAGAACTGGGGTCTACCAGGACTGGGGTCTACCAGGACTGGGGTCAACCAGGACTGGGGTCTACCAGAACTGGGATCTACCAGAACTGGGGTCTACCAGAACTGGGGTCTACCAGGACTGGGGTCTACCAGGACTGGGGCCACCAGAACTGGGGTCTACCAGAACTGGGGTTACCATGACTGGGTTCTACCAGGACTGGGGTCTACCAGAACTGGGTCTACCAGAACTGGGGTCACAAGGCTGGTGTCTACGAGGACTGGGGTCTACCAGAACTGGGGTCTACCAGAACTGGGATCTACGAGGACTGGGGTCTATCAGAACTGGGGTCTGCCAAAACTGGGATCTAAGAGACTGGGGTCTGCGAGGACTGGGGTCCATGAGGACAGGGGCCCATGAGGACTGGGCTATGAGGAATGGGGTCAAACAGAACTGGGGTCTACCAGAACTGGGGTCTACCAGAACTGGGGTCTACCAGGACTGGGGTTAACCAGGACTGGGGTCTACCAGGACTGGGGTCTACCAGAACGGGTCTACCAGAACTGGGGTCTACCAGGACTGGGGTCTCCAGAACTGGGGACTACCAGAATCTGACTACCAGAGCTGGGGTTCACCAGGACTGGGGTCTACCAGAACTGGGGTCTACCAGACCTGGGATCTACCAGAACTGGGGTCTACCAGAATTGGGTCCACGAGGACTGGGGTCAACAGAACTGGGGTCTAACAGAACTGGGGTCACTCAGAACTGGGGTCTACCAGAACTGGGATCTACCAGTACTGGGGTCCACGAGGACTGGGGTCTCAGAACTGGGGTCTACCAGGACTGGGGTCTGCCAGACTGGGGTCAACCAGGACTGGGGTCTGCCAGAACTGGGATCTACCAGAACTGGGGTCTACCAGAACTGGGGTCTACCAGGACTGGGGTCTACCAGGACTGGGGTCTACCAGAACTGGGGTCACCAGAACTGGGGTCTACCAGGACTGGGTCTGCCAGGACTGGGGTCTGCAGAACTGGGGTCTACCAGAACTGGGGTCTGCATGGGCTGGTGTCTGCAGGACTGGGGTCTGCCAGAACTGGGGTCTGCCAGAACTGATCTACGAGGACTGGGGTCTATCAGAACTGGGGTCTGCAAAACTGGGATCTAAGAGGACTGGGGTTTACGAGGACTGGGGTCTACGAGGACAGGGGTCACGAGGACAGGGGTCACGAGGACTGGGGTCTGAGGAATGGGGTCAAACAGAACTGGGGTCTACCAGAACTGGGGTCTCCAGACTGATCTACCAGGACTGGGGTCTGCGAGGACTGGGGTCTGCGAGGACTGGGGTCTACCAGAACTGGGGTCTACCAGAACTGGGGTCTACCAGAACTGGGGTCTATGAGACTGGGCTATGAGCACTGGGGTCTGCGAGCACTGGGGTCTCAGGACTGGGGTCTACCAGGACTGGGGTCTACCAGGACTGGGGTCTACCAGAACTGGGATCTACCAGGACCGGGGTCTGCCAGGACTGGGGTCAACAGGGACTGGGGTCTACCAGACCTGGGGTCTACCAGGACTGGGGTCTGCCAGAACTGGGACTACCAGAGCTGGGCTACCAGACCTGGGGTCTAAGGACTGGGGTCACCAGAACTGGGGTCTACCAGACCTGGGATCTACCAGAACTGGGGTCTACCAGAATTGGGGTCTACGAGGACTGGGGTCAACAGAACTGGGGTCTAACAGAACTGGGGTCTGCAGAACTGGGGTTCACCAGAACTGGATCTACCAGTACTGGGGTCTACGAGGACTGGGGTCTACCAGAACTGGGGTCTACCAGGACTGGGGTCTACCAGGACTGGGGTCAACCAGGACTGGGGTCTGCCAGAACTGGGATCTACCAGAACTGGGGTCTACCAGAACTGGGGTCTACCAGGACTGGGGTCACCAGGACTGGGGTCTACCAGAACTGGGGTCTACCAGAACTGGGGTCTACCAGGACTGGGGTCTACCAGGACTGGGGTCTACCAGAACTGGGGTCTACCAGAACTGGGGCCACATGGGCTGGTGTCTCACGAGGACTGGGGTCACCAGAACTGGGGTCTGCCAGAACTGGGATGAGGACTGGGGTCTATCAGAACTGGGGTCTACCAAACTGGGATCTAAGAGGACTGGGGCTCTACGAGGACTGGGGCCTACGAGGACAGGGGTCACGAGGACTGGGGTCTACGAGGAATGGGCAAACAGAACTGGGGTCTACAGAACTGGGTCTACCAGAACTGGGGTCTACCAGGACTGGGATCTACCAGGACTGGGGTCCACGAGGACTGGGGTCTACGAGGACTGGGGTCTACCAGAACTGGGGTCTACCAGAACTGGGGTCTGCAGAACTGGGGTCTACGAGGACTGGGGTCATGAGCACTGGGCCCACGAGCACTGGGGTCTACCAGGACTGGGGTCTACCAGGACTGGGGTCTACCGACTGGGGTCTACCAGAACTGGGATCTACCAGACCGGGGTCTACCAGGACTGGGGTCAGCAAGACCTGGGGTCTACCAGAACTGGGGTCTACAAGAACTGGGGTCTAACAGAACTGGGGTCTACCAGAACTGTGGTCTAACAGAACTGGGGTCTACCAGAACTGTGGTCTAACAGAACTGGGGTCTACCAGAACTGGGGTCTACAAGAACTGGTCTACCAGAACTGGGGTCTACCAGAACTGGGGCCACCAGGACTGGGGTTAACCAGGACTGGGGTCTACCAGGACTGGGGTCTACCAGAACTGGGGTCTACCAGAACTGGGGTCTACCAGACTGGGGTCTACCAGAACTGGGGACTACCAGAGCTGGGGTCTACCAGACCTGGGGGTCTACCAGGACTGGGGTCACCAGAACTGGGGTCTACCAGACCTGGGATCTACCAGAACTGGGGTCTACCAGAATTGGGGTCTGTCCACGAGGACTGGGGTCTAACAGAACTGGGGTCTAACAGAACTGGGGTCTACCAGAACTGGGGTCTACCAGAACTGGGATCTACCAGTACTGGGGTCTACGAGGACTGGGGCTCACCAGAACTGGGGTCTACCAGGACTGGGGTCTACCAGGACTGGGGTCAACCAGGACTGGGGTCTACCAGAACTGGATCTACCAGAACTGGGGTCTACCAGAACTGGGGTCTACCAGGACTGGGGTCTACCAGGACTGGGGTCACCAGAACTGGGGTCTACCAGAACTGGGGTCTACCAGGACTGGGGTCTACCAGGACTGGGGTCTGCCAGAACTGGGGTCTACCAGAACTGGGGTCTACAAGGGCTGGTGTCTCGAGGACTGGGGTCTACCAGAACTGGGGTCACCAGAACTGGGACTACGAGGACTGGGGTCTATCAGAACTGGGGTCTACCAAAACTGGGATCTAAGAGGACTGGGGTCACGAGGACTGGGGCTCCACGAGGACAGGGGCTCCACGAGGACTGGGGTCTACGAGGAATGGGGTCAAACAGAACTGGGCTACAGAACTGGGGTCTACCAGAACTGGGGTCTACCAGGACTGGGATCTACCAGGACTGGGGTCTACGAGGACTGGGGCTCATGAGGACTGGGGTCTACCAGAGACTGGGGTCTACCAGAACTGGGGTCTACCAGAACTGGGGTCTACGAGGACTGGGGCTCCATGAGCACTGGGGCTGCAGGCACTGGGCTACCAGGACTGGGGTCTACCAGGACTGGGGTCACCAGGACTGGGGTCTACCAGAACTGATCTACCAGGACCGGGCTACCAGGACTGGGGTCAACAAGGACTGGGGTCTACCAGAACTGGGGTCTACAAGAACTGGGGTCTAACAGAACTGGGGTCTACCAGAACTGTGCTCTAACAGAACTGGGGTCTACCAGAACTGTGGTCTAACAGAACTGGGGCTACCAGAACTGTGGTCACCAGAACTGGGGTCTACCAGAACTGTGGTCTAACAGAACTGGGGTCTACCAGAACTGTGGTCTACCAGAACTGGGGTCTACCAGAACTGGGGTCTACCAGAACTGGGGTCTACGAGGACTGGGGTCTAACAGAACTGGGGTCTACCAGAACTGGGGTCTACCAGAACTGGGATCTACCAGTACTGGCCTAGGACTGGGTCTACCAGAGTGGGGTCTCCAGAACTGGGGTCTACCAGGACTGGGGTCTGCCAGAACTGGGGTCTACCAGGACTGGGGTCTACCAGAACTGGGGTCCACCAGAACTGGGGTCTACCAGGACTGGGGTCTACCAGACTGAGTCTACAGAACTGGGGTCTACCAGAACTGGGATCTACCAGGAACTGGGGTCTACCAGAACTGGGGTCTACGAGGACTGGGGTCTAACAGAACTGGGGTCTACCAGGACTGGGGTCTACCAGAACTGGGGTCTACCAGAACTGGGATCTACCAGTACTGGGTCTACGAGGACTGGGGTCTACGAGGACTGGGGTCACTCAGAACTGGGTCTACCAGGACTGTCTACCAGGACTGGGGTCACCAGGACTGGGGTCTACCAGAACTGGGGTCTACCAGAACTGGGGTCTACCAGAACTGGGGTCACCACAGGACTGGGGTCTACCAGGACTGGGGTCTACCAGGACTGGGGTCTACCAGAACTGGGGTCTCACCAGAACTGGGATCTACCAGAACTGGGGTCTACCAGAACTGGGGTCTACCAGGACTGGGGTCCACCAGAACTGGGGTCTACCAGAACTGGGGTCTACCAGGACTGGGGTCTACCAGGACTGGGGTCTACCAGAACTGGTGTCTACCAGAACTGGGATCACCAGAACTGGGGTCTACCAGAACTGGGGTCTACGAGGACTGGGGTCTACGAGGACTGGGGTCTACGAGGACTGGTGTCTACGAGGACTGGGGTCTCCCAGAACTGGGTATACCAGCAGTGGGTCTACCAGAACTGGGGTCTACCAGGACTGGGGTCTAACAGGACTGGGGCCTACCAGAACTGGGCCACCAGAACTGATCTACCAGAACTGGGGTCTACTGAACTGGGGTCTACGAGGACTGGGGTCTACGAGGACTGGTGTCTACGAGGACTAGTGTGTCTACGAGGACTAGTGTCTCACGAGACTAGTGTCTACGAGGACTAGTGTCTACCTGGGAGGACTGGTGCTCCATGAGGACTAGTGTCTACAGGACTAGTGTCACGAGGACTAGTGTCTAACAGGACTGGTGTCTACGAGGACTCAGGTCTACTGACTAGTGTCTACGAGGACTAGTGTCTACGAGGACCAGTGTCCATGAGGACTGGTGTCTACGAGGACTTCGTGTCTACGAGGACTAGTGTCTACGAGGACTAGTGTCTACAAGGACTAGTGTCTACGAGGACTGGTGGTCTACGAGGACTAGTGTCTACGAGGACTAGTGTCTGCGAGGACTAGTGTCTACGAGGGACTGGGGCTCACGAGGACTGTGTCTACGAGGACTAGTGTCATGAGGACTAGTGTCTACGAGGACTAGTGTCTCTACGAGGACTGTGTCTACGAGGACTGGCTACGAGGACTGGGCCATGAGGACTGGGGTCTACGAGGACTAGTGTCTACTGGGACTAGTGTCTACGAGGGACTAGTGTCTACGAGGACTGGGGTTCACGAGGACTGGTGTCTGAGGACTAGTGTCTACGAGACTAGTGTCTGAGGACTAGTGTCTACGAGGACACAGTGTCTACGAGGACTGGGGCTCCACGAGGACTAGTGTCTACGAGGACTAGTGTCTCGTGAGGACTAGTGTCTACGAGGACTGGGGCTCCATGAGGACTGGTGTCTACGAGGACTCGTGTCTAAGGTGACTAGTGCTCTACGAGGACTAGTGTCTACGAGGACTAGTGTCTACGAGGACTGGGGTCCATGAGGACTAGTGTCTACGAGGACTGGTGTCTATGGGGACTAGTGTCTACGAGGACTGGGGCTCACGAGGACTGGTGTCTACGAGGACTCGGTGTCTACGAGGACTAGTGTCTACGAGGACTAGTGCTCCAAGGACTGGTGTCTACGAGACTAGTGTCTACGAGACTGGGGTCTCGAGGACTAGTGCTCATGAGACTGGTGTCTACGAGACTAGTGTCTACGAGGACTGGGGTCACGAGGACTAGTGTCTACGAGGACTGGGGAGGGACTAGTGTGTGTCTACGAGGACTGGGGTCCTGAGGACTAGTGTCTGAGGACTGGTGTCTATGAGGACTAGTGTCTACGAGGACTGGGCTCTGAGGACTGGCCTGGGACTGGTGTCTGCGGGGTTGGGACTGGTGTCTGAGGACTCGTGTCTACGAGATTGTGGTCCATGGGACTAGTTCCAGGGACTAGTGTTCTACGAGGACTGGGGTCTACGAGGACTGGGGTCTACGAGGATGGTGTGTATGGACTAGTGTCTACGAGGACTGGGTCTACGAGGACTGGGGTCTGAGGACTAGTGTCACAGGACTAGTGTCTACGAGGACTGGTGTCTACGAGGACTTCGTGTCTACGAGGACTAGTGGTCTACGAGGACTAGTGTCTACGAGGACTAGTGTCTGCGGGGACTGGGGTCTACGAGGACTAGTGTCTACGAGGACTGGTGTCTACGAGGACTAGTGTCTACGAGTGTGTCTACGGGACTAGTTCTGAGGACTAGTGTCTACGAGGACTGGCCCATGGGACTAGTGTCTACGGGGACTAGTGTCTGCGGGCTGGGGTCCGAGGACTGGGGCTCACGAGGACTAGTGCTCGAGACTAGTGTCTGAGGACTGGTGTGTTCGAGGACTCGTGTCTACGAGGACTAGTGTCCATGGGACTAGTGTCTACGAGGTGTGTCTACGGGACTGGGGTCCGGGACTAGTGTCTATGAGGACTGGTGTCTCGAGGACTAGTGCTCGAGGGACTGGGGTCTATGAGACTGAGTGTCTACGAGGACTGGGGTCTACGAGGACTGGTGTCTGCGAGGACTGGGGTCTGCGAGGACTAGTGTCTACGAGGACTGGTGTCTACGGGGACTAGTGTCTACGAGACTAGTGTCTGAGGACTGTGTCTTGGGACTAGTGTCTACGAGGACTGGGGTTGAGACTGGGTCTCCCGAACTGGGATAGGTGGGGTCACCAGAACTGGGGTCTACCAGAACTGAGTCTACCAGAACTGGGGCTCCCAGAACTGGGGTCTGCAGACTCAGATATACAAGCAGTGGGGGTCTACTGGAACTGGGGTCTACCGTAACTGTGGTCTAAGTACTGGGGTCTACTGTAGTGAACTATCAGGACTGGGACTTTCTGAGCTGGGGTCTACAAACTGGGGTCTCCAGAACTGGGGTCTACCAGAACTGGGTCTAGAGTACTGGGTCTAAGGATTGGGGTCTTGGGACTGGGGTCACTGGGTCAGGGTCTTTCGGGACTGGGGTCATTGGGACTGGGGTCTATGAGGACTGGGGTCCCAGAACTGGGTTCTACCTGAACTGGGGCTCCCTGGACTGGGTCTACTAGGACTGGGTCTACCAGGACTGGGGTCTGGAATTGGGGTTGCAGACGGGCTACTAGATCAGGCTGCAGGTCTGTCTACCAGGACTGGGGTCCACCAGGACTGGGGTCTACCAGTGGGGTCTGCAATGGGTTCACCAGGTGGGGTCTGGGGATTCTACCAGGGCTGGGTCTCAGGGTGGGGTCCTCTGGGGTCACTAGGACTGGGGTCTGCGGGGACTGGGGTTTACGAGGACTGGTGTCTGGGATGGGGTCTCCAGAACTGGATACCAGAGTGGGGGTCTGAACTGGGGCTACTCAGGACTGGGGTTTGGAACTGGGCACCAGTACTGGTGTTCTGAAGGTCCTGAACTGGGGTCACGAGGACTGGGGTTACGGGACTGGTGTCACGAGGACTGGGGGGATGGTGTCTGGGACTGGTGTCTCAGGACTGTCTCGAACTGGTGTCTCGAGACTGGTGTCTGCTGGACTGTGGTCACGAGGACTAGTGTCTTCAGGACTGGTGTCTACGGTACGTTGTCTCTGGGACTAGTGTCTCGAGGGACTAGTGTTCTACGTGGACTAGTTTCATGGACTGGTGTCTGCGGGGACCTCGGGTCTACGAGGACTGGGGTCTACGAGGACTGGTGTCTACGGGGACCTGTGTCTCGAGGACTGGGTCTGCGAGGACTAGTGTCTACGGGACTGGTGTCTACGAGGACTGGTGTCTACGAGGGACTGGGGCTCACGAGGACTGGTGTCTACGGGGACTAGTGTCTACGAGGACTGGTGTCTACGAGGACTGGTGTGTCTACGACTGGTGTCACGAGGACTGGCCTACGGGACTGGGCCCATGGGACTGGGGTCTACGGGGACTAGTGTCTACCAGGGACTGGTGTCTACGGAGGACTAGTGTCTGAGGACTGGGGTCTACGAGGACTGTGTCTACGAGGACTGGTGTCTACGAGACTAGTGCCACGAGGACTGTGCTCCGGGTAGTGTCTACGAGGACTGGGGTCCACGGGACTGGTGTCTACGAGGACTAGTGTCTGTGAGGACTAGTGTCTACGAGGACTGGGGTCTACGAGGACCGGTGTCTACGAGGACTCGGGGAGTGTTCATGAGGACTGGTGTTGGGACTGTGCCACGGGACTGGGGGTCTGGACTAGTGTCTCGAGGACTGGTGGCCCATGACTAGTGTCTATGAGGACTGGGGGTCTTGAGGACTGGTGTCTACGAGGACTCGTGTCTGCGAGGACTGGTGTCTACGAGGACTGGTGCTCCACGAGGACTAGGTGTGGTGTCTATGAGACTGGGGTCTACGAGGACTGTGCCATGAGACTGGTGTCTACGGACTGGTAGTGGGTCCACGAGGCTAGTGCTCGGTGGGGCCGAGGACTAGGTTCTACGAGGACTGGGGCTCCGAGGACTAGTGCCTGGGACTGGTGCTCCAGGGACTAGTGTCTCGAGGACTGGGGTCTGGTGGGGTTGTGGCTAGAGGACTGGTGTCTACGAGGACTGGTGTCTCTGAGATAGTGTCTCGAGGACTGGTTCCGAGGACTGGTGTCTCGAGGACTGGGGTCTACGAGGACTGGGGTTGAGGACTGGGGTGTTAGACTGGTGTACGAGGACGGGTTGGGACTGGGTCAGAGGTGGTGCCAGGGACTGTCCCACGAGGACTAGTGTCTACGAGGACTAGTGTCTACGAGGACTAGTGTCTACGAGGACTGGGGTCTACGAGGACTAGTGTCTACGAGGACTGGTGTCTACGAGGACTAGTGTCTACGGATAGTGTCTCGAGGACGCGGGACTAGTGTCTACGAGGACTGGCCCGAGACTGGTGTCTCGTAGTGTCTACAGGACTGGGGCTCCAGAACTGGGGTCAAGGACTGTCTGGACTGTGTCTACGAGGACTGGGTGGCTGGGAGACTAGTGCCGGGACTGGTGTCTACGAGGACTAGTGTCTACGAGGACTGGGGTCTACGAGGACTAGCAGGATGGTGTCTACGAGGACTAGTGCTACGAGGACTGGGGCCCACGAGACTAGTGTCACGAGGACTGGGGCCTACGAGACTAGTGCCCAGAGGACTGGGGTCTACGAGACTGGTGTCTACGAGGACTGGTGTCTACGAGGACTAGTGTCTACGAGACTAGTGTCTATGAGGACTGGTGTCTAGAGGACTAGTGTCTACGAGGACTGGGGTCTATGAGACTGGGTCTCCTGAACTGGGATACCAGCAGTGGGGTCACCAGAACTGGGGTCTACCAGAACTGAGTCTACCAGAACTGGGGTCACCAGAACTGGGTCACCAGAACTCAGATATACAAGCAGTGGGGTCTACTGGAACTAGGGTCTACCGTAACTGTGGTCTCGTAACTGGGGTCTACTGTAAGTGGAACTATCAGGACTGGGGACTTTCAGGCTGGGGGTTACCAAAACTGGGGTCTACCAGAACTGTGGTCTACCAGATTGGGGTCTACAAAACTGGGGTCTGCAAAACTGGGGCACATACACACACACACATGTTCCATTTCGGATTTATCAAAATAACAAAAAATCAAGAAAAACAACAATAGAAAACTTACGAAAGGATAAAGATTACAACATTGCAACAGACACCTGCAACACAGATCTCTCGCAATATGCAACATTGACGTCATTGTAAAGTT